AAGGTCCCAAGATCTTGTTTTCTTCTTCCCCCCACTCTGGGAAAAAAAAATGTATCTAAGGGTTATATTTCATAAGCAGCAGAATTGTGTTTCATGGGCAGACTGTTACTCTTTGGAGAGTGTATCTTCCTCATTTGTTTGGATTTATTTAGACTCTGGGATACATGAACTGTGTCTGTGGGAAAGTCAATAATGAGATCTAACTTACCTTTCTGTTCTCTTATTGTGTCCCCTAGTTGTGGCTCACATCACTGAGCATATAGAAGTCTTGGTCAGAGCCACCCATGCAGGAATGTCCAGATTTTGCCTGACCCTGTGCAAACGACACATTTTCCTCAGTGCTTCCACATGCCGACACAAGCCCCAGAGACAGCCATCTGTCTGGCTGTTGGATAGATAATCACTAACATTAAAAAAAGTATTAGAAAAATACATGTTAATAGTACTATATAGCAAAAAGGCTCTTCTGATTTCAGTAAAGAACATTAACATCTGTTGGCTGCTTAACATCGCCTGTTTGCCTTTGGCATGTTGGGATTTATCTTAGCCTAGTGTAATAAATGGAAATGTCACCATTTAATTAAATGGCTTCAGGTCAAATCCATCCAGTGATTACTCTGTGTTGAAGTTCACAGCAATAGCATTCTTTGCTTATTGGTACAAATTTTCTGTTAGCGTTGCTACGTTTCTGGTAATTGTTTGTGTTACATACCTTTGTGTAAATTTTTTGTAAAGTAATGAGAGTCATGTCAATGATTTATATTTAATAAAATGAATATCCTGTTAATCAGTAAGTACAAAAGCAGTTTGCATGAAAACAAAATGCTTTAGGTTATTTATAAAACCATTCAAAATGCATTATAAAATGGTTTTAGTGAATTAATGTTTGCTGTCTTTTTTTCCTAAAGGAGGTTTCACGATTGTAGGCAACAAGAGTTAACTTCAGGATGCTAAAAAGGAAACAAAGTTCAAGGGTGGAAGCCCAGCCAGTTACGGATTTTGGTCCCGATGAATCTTTGTCAGACAACGCAGATATTCTATGGATTAACAAACCAGTGGGTATCTCTTTCTGTAATTACTAACTTTAGGTTAAATGTAATTTGTACTGTTGAAATATGACTTCCACTTCTGTTTGTCAGAAACACGTATTGAGCTATAGTTGCTAATCTACCAGTTATTTTTTTAAAAAGTCCAAAACTAAAAAAAACCCCAGGCATTTCTTTTGGCTATTGCAAAATGATGGGATGATCAAGCAGTGTTTTCCAACCAGTTCATCTACTGATTTATTCTTTTAAAACAGCCATCCTTTCAATGTCTCTGGTTCCTGACGTGGTTGCACTTCTGACTTTCAAATCTCTCCTTTTACATCATATATATCGTAATATAAATATATTTTGGCTGTTTATTTTGAAGTACACCTCTCATTTTTCTGATATCATTTAACTTATAATCTGCCCTAAGAAATAGATAGGTGCAAAAGTGGCGTCTTGAAACTGGGGAAAATTTCATTAAGAGTGGAGTTAATAATGGAAGGTACAATATTGAGAAAATGTCTTTCCTGTGTAAATATTACTAATCTGGACTGAGTATGCAAATGATAGAGCTATTCAATTCAGGTCAAATATCATTACACTTAGGTGAGCGAACAGTGAGCATTAAATTAGGTGCCTATTCTTAAGTCTTATGTCTGAAGTGCTATAAATCAGTGTCAAATTTGAAAAAGTTCAGTGTTTCTTGTTTGAAGTTTTTTCTTGTTGAAAAGAACTTCTTGTTTTGATAGGTATGACCTTACCAACTCTGATTCTTTACATTTGTGTGGCTTAAAGTTGTTTTGATTTAAAAGAAAAAAAAAAAACAGCCTTAAACCCTTGTTCTGCTTTTTTTGTTACACCTGCCTTTCTGAGTGGCACTTAATATCAGCCTTATGAATAAGGAGTGGGTCTGAGACCTAAGTAGTAATAGAAATTAACTGTTCTCTTATAGCAACAAAACTTGATTGGAACAGAAGTGAATCCTGATCTTAAGTAGCATTCTCTGACACAGTCTCTTTTATATTTATTCTTTTCATAAATGGAAGGATGCTTTTAATCCTGTGCCTCACACACTTAATTTTTGGAGTTGTATATTGATTTAAAAATAATTTCTGCTAAGTGTTGAACTAAAATTGTCAACAGATATTTTCATTTAATGTATTTACCCAGTTTATAACTCCAACTAATTCTACTTACTGTCTGCCCATAAATATGGCAGGTTGTCATTTGAAAAGAAATTAAATTACAAGTTCTGCAAAGTAGAAATTATGGAATCCTAATTCTCAGTTTCATGGTTCTTAATTCTTGGTTTCTGAATTATACAACCTCACAAATTACCTAATAAAATTCTGTATGTGCATATATAATTTTAAGTAATTTAGGAGTGCTTGGTTTTGGTTAAAGACCTTTAATATATGCATCATGAGGTAAAGAAACACAAATGTGCTTTTACTAAAGGTGCCAATATAAGTTATGGAGGCTTTTTTTGAAGATCAAAGCAATCTTGCAATAGCTTGGGTTTGCTTGTTTTTTTGTATTTTTTTTTCCAGTGGGTACACTCTTTACTACGAATCTGTGCCATCATCAGTGTTATTTCTGTTTGTATGAACACTCCAAAGACCTTCGAGCATTATCCGCCTCTTCAGTATGTGACATTTGCTCTTGATACTTTGTTGATGTTTCTTTACACTGCAGAGATGATAGCAAAAATGCACATCCGTGGGATAGTTAAGGTAAGCATTTTAACAGTACTCTATGTGTGCTTCAAGTGATCTGAGTGTATGTTAATGACATTTGGTATTTGTTTTTTAACTTACCAGCTCTTCTTGCTATGATTGTTTTTAACTGCAGGCAATGTTATGGTGTATAAACTGAAAAGACAGATTGACAAAGATGCAGCTTTACTGCATATTTAATCACCCCAAAGTATAAAGTCAGCTTTCCTAATAAAGGTTTACTAGTAAGAAATAGTTTCATTGCATTAGTATAAAAAATGAAAGGAATAAAAAGCTACATATACATTAGGAAGAATATTTTGTAAATGTCTATTGGTCCATATATGGGCTTAGAATTTCGATTTTTGTTTCAGAAGGCTGGATGTGTTCTTGTGTGGTTACTTAAGAGCATATGTCTTACTGTGAGCTAAATGAGAAAGTTATCTTCCTTAAATTTTTTTTTCCTTAGTATAATCCATGTTGGTAAACAAATGCTTCTGTTATACGTCTGCTGTTGTCACTGGGCTAATTTGTATAAGTAGATACAATATTATGGGCTGCAAAACTGCAGAATTTTTCAGTAATCGTGATTTTGTACCATTATTTTACTAATTGTTTCCAGTCTTTTAAAAAAAGATACAAATCAGCTTCCATATAGAAAATCCATCTGCAGACCTTATTGACAAAGCAATTATGTCACTATTGCACAGAACAGATGTTCAGTGTTATCCTTGCTTTTCACTTCTGAAAGGTCTGGTGACTCCGGAGACATCTGATACTATACTTATGCTCTTGAAGTTTTTCTGAGTTTGCAGATAGCATTTTTTGTTCACTTCCAAACTAAAATATTATTCATCATACTTAGTGAACATTAATAGTAAAAGTGTCATTAATATTAACATTTAGAAAATTACTGAATAAGATAGTTCTGAGAAAAACTTCATGGGCTGTATAAAGCCAAAGTGCTCTCTTCCTCAGAGATGTCTATTAAGTAGGTGAAGGTAAGGACACAGGATTATGAATGGAGAATTAGTGACTATCATGCACGTTTGGACAGTGTGGGAATAAAAAGTTACTATTACAACCAGTACAGCCTTTGGAGAGAAAAGGACATGTAGATATTAATGCAGAGAGAGAGTTAGGGAGGGGTGGCCAACAGTGTGACTTTAGTACAAAGCTTGATTCCTGAGCTTTTGTGTATGCAAATACCAACTTCACTCACAATTGACACCTAGGGGCTATGAACAATATGCTGCTGCTGCTGCTCAGTCTGTCTTTCACTGGGTTGTTTAAATTTGTGGGTTTGTGGGAAGAGAAAAAAGAAGAGGCAAGGTGAGGTGAGGAGAAGTTGAAAGTGACTGTTGGAAGGGACCTACAACCATAATATAGTCCAACTGCTTGACCAGTTGACCAGTTTGGGTCTGACCAAAACTTAAAATGCATTGTCCAAATGCTTCTTAAACACAGGCTTGGGGCATTAACCACCTGTCTAGGAAGCCTGTACCAGTGTTTAACCACTCTCTTTACAAAATGTTTCCCAGTTTCCAGACTGAACCTTCCCTGACACAGCTTTGAACCATTCCCATGCATCAGGTCACAGGGTACTGGGGAGATCAGTGTCTCACTCTCCACTTTTCCTCTCCTCAGGAAGCTGTAGAGAGCAACAAGGTTACCCCTCATCTGCCTTTTCTCTGAACTAGACAAACCTAGAGTCCTTAGCTGCTCCTCAGAGGATGAACTTCTCTGTAATTGCCGTATAATGAACTTGTCTTTGAAGCATGTCTGGTGAGCTGGGCCACGCAGAATGCGTAGCAGTCTAGAGTTGGTTTCAATGCCTCAATTTATGTTATACATATATAGATAACAGCATAGATTATTTCCTTTGCACTGACATTTTACTATTTGTCTATTAGATAAACATACACTAAACAGGGAGATTCTGAAGGAAATCAGGGATAAAAAGAGAGTTTACCAACTATGGAAGAAAGGGCTGTCTACTTACGAAGAATTCAGGAAGACAGCTAGATCATGCAGAAAGAAAATCAGGGATGCAAAAGCGCAATTCGGAGTTAAATTGGCCACTTCTGTTAGGAATAACAAAAAGTCCTTCTATAAATACATTAATAACAGAAGGAGGGGCAAAGAAAACCTCCATTCTTTGATGGACTTGGAGGGAAACATAGTTAATAGAGATGAGGAGAAGGCTGAGGTACTTAACACCTGCTTTGCCTCAGTTTTTACCAGTAAGACAGGTGGCCCTCAAGGCAACTGGCCTCTGGAGCTGGTAGACAGAGATAGGAAACCAAATAGCCCCCTTGTATTCCAGGAGGAAATAGTTGGTGACTTACTGAATCATCTGGATCCTCACAAGTCTATGGGACCAGATGGGATCCATCCTAGGGTAATGAGGGAGCTGGCAGAAGAGCTTGCCAAGCTGCTCTCCATCATCTTCCAACAGTCCTGGCTCACTGGGGAGGTCCCAGATGATTGGAAGTTGACAAATATCACCCCAATCCATAAAAAAGGATTCAAGGCTGACCCTAGTAACTACAGGCCTGTCAGCCTGACCTCGGTGCCTGGCAGAGTTATGGAGCAGATCATCCTGTGTGCAATCACACAGCAGCTACAGGATGGACAAGGGATCAGACCCAGCCAACATGGGTTTAGGAGGGGCAGATCCTGTTTGACCAACCTGATCTCCTTTTATGATCAGGTGAC